ATGAACTTGTCGGTTAATTAATTGTCGGTGAACTAAGCTGTCGGTAAAGTGATTGTCGGCGAAATGCGCACCACCCAGATCCGGATAGAGTTAACTCAATGATCATCACAACATCACATGACGGTATATTTAGGTGTGGTTGATCATAACATTTATGTGTGAGGTAGGGGAACAGAAGAATACTTACCCATGATAATTCCTTTAATTATGACCGACGCCTCTAGCGAAAGCCTAAACATAAGGTATAATATTTTTCAGTTGTAAGTCACGCATGAACCACAAGACTTACAAAGCTTGAAATTTATACACCCATGCATAAATTTATACAAATATGCAGCGACTGTCCAATACGTATAATTTCAGATATCTTAACGTATAGATTGTTAAAACAGCTAGGACCTAGTTTTTTATAAAGATTATGTTTTCATGTGATTTAAGAACCGAGTTTCGAGCTCTTTCAATGACTCGGTCCCAAGGAACACCATTTATTACGTAGTTTTTTGAAGGGGAGGACAAGCAGTCTACCGTGCCTATATATTGTATACTTGGCTGCTGATTTTATTATTCGAGGAGGTCTGGTCTTTTAATAAAAGAGATTTACGTAATAAATAGCGCACCCTAAAGGATCCTTAAATACAAAATAAATATATGAACAGTTATTATACATACTGTAGGCTAAATTTTACCGCTTTTAAAGTTTTGGCCATGAAATAATATAGCAAAGATCCTAAAATTTTCATAATATTAGAAAAATACAGAAGACTACGCCAGCTGTGAACACTGTAGTACTGCACGCAAAAAATCCAGGTACACATCATTATCAGAGCTGTTAGGGTTGTTCTCCTGTGGTAAGTCTCCATGGTAAGATTTCCACGAATTCTTGTGATAAGCTACTATGGGGAGTTTCCATGAATTTTGGTGGTAAGTTACCATAATAAATTTCCATGAATTTTGGTGGTAAGTCACCAAATGCCGGTTTGGAAAGTCTAGCCATTATCAGGAATTCTGGATAGTAGATAAAACTGAATAATTATGATATTAATGCTGTGCATTAGATGCAGATTAAATGATTATACTTTTGTAAATACTACCTACCATTATCCTAGGTAGGATGAACAATGTAATAATTTATGTAAATAATGTTTAAGGTTTAATTAATGCTTATTGAGACTTCTGAATGGTATAATCTCCGATGTAATGTTAGGCAATATTACGTATAAGGAAGATAATGTATTATAGGCCATTTAGGGTATCGCGATTCAGTATTTATAATCGGATAATTTTTATACCGTTGGAAATTCTTCTCAGTTAAGAAAGTCGAATGGTGCAGAATTTTCCGATTCTAGTCACTGGATCGCAGATGTCACCGTGATCATCGATAGAATTTTTTTTTTTTTTTTTTGCACGTTTCCACAAAAATTATTTATTTAATCGATAGGCCACAAGATATTTCCGGCTCATTAATTGATCACCTTAATTTTATTTAACACACGGCATTAGTAAAAAAAAAAAACACACTTTCTTTAGTTAAACTAAAATATTCTCTCATCTTTAATAAATTTACTTACATTAAATGATACAGTAATAATTATCGAACTTGCCTAGTACACACATAGTGAAACTGATTATTGACTGTAGTACTGTGGTTATTCAAAATATACAGTACCGGATTGAGTCATTAAAGGGAGCTTAGGGATATTTCGGCTAAATCTTCCGTTATTTCGATTAAATCTCACAGACCAAACCCATTGCATCATTCACAAATTACAGAGTAAGAAAGTTATGGTCATAGAATAAATCTGTGTTTATTATAAAGATATTTGAGTAAGTCCATTTTGAATAACTTGCCAGATTTCAAAAATAAAATAAGATAAACATAGCAAAAATATATTAGCATTAACATCCAGATAGCAGCTTGTAACTTAAATTTACCTATAAAACGACCTTCCCATAAAATATCTCCTACAACATTCTCAATAGGCAGGATTTTGGTTGATTTTTTATTAATTTTCCTGAGGTGAACAATTACTCATTGCGTACTGTTGAACGTTTATACCCTAAGCGAACTTCTGGTATTTTTCCCTTAGGATCGATGCCTTATACAGTATATTATTACTAATCGCTATCGATTACTACATTGTTCATACAACCACTGTTTTAACTTTTAATTAAACCTGATCACGCCATTCGTGCAACGCACATTTTACTTGAATCCGATCCTAATCGAACCCAACATCACGAAATCCCGGGGTAACGAATCGAACCATGACACCGAGCCTAAAAACCAATGTGTTTGACCTAAGAATTAGAAAAAAATTAGAAACTCGACCCGGGCAATGCTGGGTCCTAAATGCTTGTCATTATCACAAAATCACCGCCATAATCAAAAGTAGCCAAATTTTTAAAAATTTTTATTATAAAAATTTTTGTTATACAGTATATGTTTGTATTTAGAAATTTCTAAGTTTTACATATAAATTTTTGTATATAAAAGTTTTTATCTCATTTTTGGAAAAGGTTTTCGAGGTAAAGCATTATACTTAGAGCACTATGCACCAAAAATTGGGTTTGGAACCAGTTTTATTTTTTACTTTATATTATAACCAAAAAAAAAAAAAAACTAGGTGTTAGTAATAAAATTCGGCCAAGATTGAAGCTAAATTTAGTAAATTTCGAAAGATTCCAGATTACAGTTGTTTTTATTATTTAGGGACATTTGAAAAATTGGATAAGTTTTCGATGTCGGCTGACGTCAGTAACTTATTGATTCCGACTCGTAACTTGTCTAGAGGTTGGAACCGGTTTTAAAAATTCGAGTTTATCACATAAAAATTCGATTTTATCACACCAAAATTCGAGTTTATCACTTCAATCATTAATTTAATGATTGAAGTGATAAACTCGAACTTTGGTGTGATAAACTCGAATTTTTATGTGATAAACTCGAATTTTTAAAACTGGTTCCAACCTCTATTAATAATATACTGAGCTTGGGTATCAGTGATTTGTTTTGTATTGGCGATTTGAATAAGATGTGAAGATTGTGATAGTATGAGCTGAGATTACTTAGATTGTTTGTTATTTAGGGTAAACCAGCAGCCAAGAAATTTAAATGGCTAGTGTGGTGAACAGACAGGTAAAGCTTGATTGTTAAAAGTAATTGAGATAGAGTTGAAGGATTTGGAGTTGGTTGAAAGGATAGATTTAGATGAGTTAACTTGGATATTTGCCATTGAGTAGAAAGATTCTGCAATAGATATGATGTTGAATAATTCTTCTTGGGATGAAGTGATCCAAAGAGTGACATCCATATAAGCTAGAATAGAGTAGTTAATATTGGTATGGTTAGTGGTGAGGTGTTTAAGATTGGTAAACCAGGAGACCTTGGATGTGTATCTAGGGAAAGATAAGTGTATGTAGAATATAAGAGGATCATAGTAGATGCACCAGAGGAGGGGTGTGATAATTTCACCTTGGTCTATACCATTAAGAACCTGGTATGACAATGTTAAACCAAAATTAGTAATGACCTCATTTTGGCAGTCTGTTAGGAGATTAATGAGGATATTAATAATAGTAGGGGGAAGAGCAAGTTGAGAGAGTAAGTGCTGGAATAGTGTAAAGTTAACAGAATCATAGGCCTTACTCATATCCTGAGAAAGAACCCATATATCTTGGTAGTTGCAGTTTGTATCTTCAATTAAGTTGTTGAGGATGTGAATTTGGGTTGATGTACTGTTGCCTGGTGGGGCAACATAGTTATAATGAAAAAGTATAGAGTATTGTATAAAGACTTTACTAAATCTATTTGTAATGATTTTGGTATAAATTTTGCAAGCATGTTCAATAAGGCTAATTGGACATATGAGGCTAAGATTGCTATCAAAGGCATTATTTTTGGGAATAGAGAAGATTCTTCTCTGTTTCCATTGTTCAGATATATAGTTATGGGTTAAACAGCAGTTGAAGAAAGCAGTAAGTGCAAGAATACAGGAGTTGTTAAAGTGTTTGATCATTTCATAACTAATACTAGTAGGACCACATGCTTTATTGTTGGGCAATTTGGAAATAGTTTATAGAGTTTTTTTGAGAGTAATGGGTTGTGTAAATGAGATATACCAGTCAGAATTAATGTATATAAGAGGTAAGTATTGTTGATACCAGAAGTTGTCAAAGAGAGATTGGTTAATAGGTCTGAAGGCTGTCCAGTTAAAAAAGTGAGATTGTATATGTTGTTTAATTTGGGCAGGTTTAGTAATAAGTTGGTATTTGATGTTGGTAAAGTGAATAGGAGGTTTGTATTAGTCTAGTATACTATTAATAGCTTGTTTGGGTTTAAAGATTAAAGTTTTGCATTTTTTCTTTGATGCCTCATTAATTTGATGTCTGAGTCGAAGAGAATGTTTAATAGAGTATGCTTGAGATATTTGTTTCCAAATATCATATGCATATTGTAACCATGCATGTAATGATGGGTTGTCCAAGGAATTGAGAATTTGGAGGTTACTATAAGTATAGGAGTTGATAATGTGAATAAGGGAGTTGACATGGGGTAGGTACTTGTTGGATAAGTCAGAGGTAATAATTTTGATTAAGTAACCTAGTTTTTTAAGGCCAATATGAAGAGCAGTACACTGTGGGCTATATTTGTGATTATAACTATACTTGTGAGTTATTTTGTTAGAGAGAGCTTGGGTGGCAGCATGCAGGATACAGTATTGTATTTTATGCTATATAGTGTTAATACTCTAAGATGTATGAATGTGTAGAAAAACATGTTGCTAGGTGAAGAGGTTGCTGACAAGATCAGAGAATTGGGTCCATTGGTCTGGTGAAGTTGATTTGTAGTCATGGGGGGTGGCTGATATTGTGGAAACCACCTATAGCCTAGTTACCCAGATCTTTAACATCTTATCCCCAGATCTTAGATGTATACTCCCAACCAACTTTATTTAATAAATTATTTATGTTTACATTATATAGTTATAATACAGTATTAAAAAAGTAAAGAGAAGAAAAAATAATAAAAAAATATATAAAGAAAATATCTAAAAAACAATTCACTCAAAATTTCTATATTCCATCCTTTAAACCATTTACCAAAGAGCTTGACACCTGGTTTATTTCCTTCATTTCTCTATATCTTCGCCAGTTCTCTAACAAGTCTGAAGACCTGCAAAAGAAAATATATAATCATATTTGTTATAATGTTGCTATGACTCTTGCTGATGAATATAAAAAACTTTTACTATCTACTTATACATTTTTGAAATTACATCTTTACAAGATCCTCATGAAGCTGTTACTAAAGCAACACTCCACCATATTCACACATGCCAAAACAATGATGAACACCAATGCAAAATTCATTTTACTTGACAAGACTCTGATATCTCTGATTTCTCAAATCAAAATATTTACAAAAATATTTATTAATATTTCTACAAAAAATCACTTCAATCTTATCCTGCTCCTCCCTCTTCTCCAGATACATCTACACAATCAACATCCAAAATTCAACCTACTTTTAACTTTCTTGTTTTGACAAAGAAGAATCCTGCCCTGCAACCTTCTCTATTCCCTTTTTCACACAAATCTTCTCAAAACTAGCTAATGAAGCAAAAACCTTCTATAATAAAAAAAATAATACCACATCTGATATCTGCCACAATACATTCTACTTCTATACCTATTTTAACAAATACCTTAAATCAGCTACCTAAAATGATAAAATCTATAATCTATCACAAGATAAATCTATTAGTAAACTTCTTAAACAAACTACAGACCCTACCTTCATTGGTAGAGTAATGTCTTATTTTAGCATTCTCAAAAATCTTAAACAAACATTTTCTCAAATATGTACCCAATATAATAAGCACTACCTCTCTCAAGCTGACAAGCTTATTATTGATTATTACAAAATTATTAAGCCAAAAATCTCTAATACACTTCTTCTCGGACCTCCAAAACCTTAAAACCAATCTTCTGACCTCAAAAAATCTTCACAATCTCTCAATACAAACCAATCTTTTTAATTGAGTCTTCTGCAAAACAGCTGCTGCCTCTGAGATTATGATGTCCTCCACTATATGTAGGCCATTTTCAGAGAAGAATAATATAAGTAGGCAGGCAGGAAAGCCTATTACGTGGAAGAATCAAATAATAATAGTCAGACTTAATACACAGAGCAGACTCTAGATTCTTGCATAGCTGTGAGAGCTGAGCATATGGTGAGCGATTTTGTAGAAGATCTTACTCTCTAGATACCAAGTCATCCCACCATTCTGAGGAGACATGCTTTAACAAATTTCTTTACAAATACATTTATCACTTCTTCCACTTCCACAAACTCTCAAATTCTTTCTTTATCACTTGCTTAAATATTCTTTCTTTCAACTCTACAAAATATCAGTTAAAATTATTACACTTGAAATATATATATATCTTAATATTAACGAACATACTCTTCTTGGTCACTTAATCCTCTCTCCAAACTAATATTCAATCTATTCCTCTTCTCCTATTTTGTCATCTATAATAGATTATTAATTTATTTATTCAAGTAGTTTATCAAATTATAATATATCTTTCTACTTTGGTTCACAACTTTATTTTATTTTAAACTTTGTTAAAATCTTCATACATATAATAATCAAATCAACCTACTACAAAACAAACAAACAAATAACTTTCTTCTTCTTATATCTTTACTCAATATTACTCCTCTTTTATTATCTACAACTCTGTATTCTAACTACCTCCTACAATAACTCCACTACTAATAATTTCACTAAAACTTTCTACTCGACACAACATCCTTATTCTCTCTAACCTTTGTGAATATTTTGCTTTCTGATCAAGGAAATATTCTAAAACACAATCAACTTGTTATTTTCACTATTATGATTTAATTCCTGATTGTTTATACGATTATTTATTTTTTCTAATCTTCTTTTTACAATTTTTTCTTTAATTTGCAAACTATAATATTTATAATTAATTATTTTAAAATTATAAC